GAACAAAATTAACGAGCCGAACACGAGCTTCTTAATGAGCCAAACACGAGCTGTTCGCGAACAACGAGCCGTTTTGACAGCCCTAGTTGTTGTTATGTGGACACTAACAAAAAAATAAAAAAATAAAAGATCTTATGCTTTAGCATTCCTAACTTTATAAATTTATAAAAAAATGTTTTTGAATTACATGTTTAAAGTAAATTTTTTTCTTTTTTTTCCTTAAATTTCTCAATTTTATAATTAAAATTATTTTCTTTGTTTCATTAAAAATATTACTAATGTGTAAAATAAATTTACTTACTTGTTGATTTTTCGTTTGTAATTCCTTGCATTATTCCTGATCATTTTGTTAATGTTGTGGTTTTCATTCTAGTATTTCATATTTACCTTTTAAAAAAGGTATAGTTATAGAAATATTTAGTAATTTGTGATATGTGACTGTTTCATTTCTTTTGCATGAAATCATATGCATCATCATATCAGTTGCATTCGTGAACTCCAACCTCGAGTTATCCTTCATCTACTGGAGGCTTTCGTTTGAAGCTCTCACATTATTGCTGCCTGTGTGGTTACAAAGAAAAATGTGGAAGAAAAACTTTTGAAGCCACAGATTGCTTGAAAGAGATTTATTCTTTTAAAATCCCTTCAATTAAAACACATCCTTTTAACATATTAGTTTCAGTATCATGTTCAAGGATTAGTCTTCTATTTAAAAATTTATCAAATTTAATGTGTTTTAATTCATTTTTGAATGGAAACACTTCAACCTAAACTACTTTATGCAACTGAATTACCTGTTTGTAGGTTTGTTCAATAATGATCTGAAGCCTATGGAGCTCGATCGCAGCGCTTCCGCAAGCAGATTCCTATTGTCATCGACACAGATGAAGAGGATTCTAAAAGTTATGGTATTGTTAATTTCTAGAAAAAAGGTTTTTGATTGTTGATGTTTTCAAAGAGAGAAGAAAGCAATTGGCCTCATATATTTCTAGTAAGTTCTAGAACCAGACTTACTAGTTCTTCGATTTCTTGCTTTGTAGATTTTAATTGTTGGTTGGGATTACTGTTTCCAGTCTTGTAAGTTCACGCACGTTCTACTTCCTTTCTATACATTGCTGTTATGTTTAATATTTATATTATTAAGAGCTGGAGGCACAGATTCATACTTTTGTTGTTGTTCTTGTTCTTGTTCTTGAGGATGATTAAACTTCATTTAAGGTATGATGAAATCCCTGAAATGACTTTCTCTTAACAGTTATGGTTGGGGGCATTTACGTACATACCATCCAATTCTCATGTATTTACATATCTAACACCTAATCTTTGATTTTTATATTTATTCCAGCTAAATTTTCACTTCTCGGTAAAAATATCACTATTTTAGCTTTACAAAAGTGAAATACATCTTTTCATGCTTGGAGGTTCCTTTTTAGGAGAAATATGTCCATACGGAATACACATTTGTGTCGGGATTATTGGGGTATTAAGTCCAATGACATATAACCCCAATAACCTTTGCGGGTTCTATTTCGGTGTTATTCATATGTTATTATAAGAGTATTGCAGGATTATTGGAGTAAGGATGCACAGCTGCATGCGTATTCCGTATGGAAATATTTCCCATTTTTTATGGTCTCTTGAGGGAGCTATACTTGCCTGAAACAGTTATGAAACTACTGCAAAAGAAACTGTTATTTAAAAAATTATAACGACAATTTCAAAATTATTTTATTTACATATTCAAGCATAATTATTTTCACTTATTATATATAATTTTTTTACCAAAATCCCAGCTATTTTATGTGAACATATAATCAAAATTGGTCTCCCTCTATGTTCCTTATGATATCATTCACTAATCTAAATTATTCTTGCTGGAAGCCTTGTGTATTTTTTGTAATATTCACTCGCTTAAATTGTCTTTTATCATGACATCGCAAACCCAAAATATGTCATCCTTTATATTAACTCATATTAGAAATCTGCCAAATATATGCCCACCTTATTTTATAGTTGTAAATGATAGACTACTCGCCAGCATTTGAAAATATTATTCAATAAATAAAGACTTTATGATTATAATAATTATATTAAAAATTATCATCAATTGTTTTTATTTTTGTATTGATTATGAAGTGGTCATAAAATTCATTTAAAATTAAAAACCTTTTTCTTAAAATATTTGTTGGAAAATACTAGAAAATGAAACAATTATATAAATAGTTGATAGAAAAACAATTTAAATTTGTAAAATGAATATATATTTCGTATACATAATATTAATAATTATCAACCGGATAATTCAATGTACTAATTTTTAGTATGAAAATATTATATAAAAATATTGGAGATAACGATAAAGATGCCGCCTTTAAATTTAAAATTAGATTATTTAAATGCCTCCAAATTTAAACATGATAATATTTTATAGAATGAAAATGATAATTTTTATAAAAATCACCATCGATTGTACCATATTTTAACATTAGAAAAGAAAAATCATATATATATATATATATATAGATAGATAGATAGATAGATAGATGTAGATATATAATATTAGTTGACTAAAAAGAAGATAAATTGTTAAAAAAATATTTATGGCTTGTTTAACACCAGATACAACCTTAAATGAAAAATGAAAATTTTAGCCAATTGCAAATAGTTATAATAAGGCTAACAATGAACAATGATGATAAAGATACACGGATATCCAAAATTGAGATTTCTTAAGCAACAGGAAAGCCTAAATACATGGCAGAACAGTCATGCTCGTTATTCGTATTCTTGGAGGTAAAGCTATAGAGTTCCTTACCGCTTAGAAGGACCCCACTAGTACATCGGAAGCACGTCAACAACAGCGAGCTTCTCAAAATAGGCTCGCTAAACTTGAGTCTTCAATTGAGGTCCTCGAGCTTGCTCACATTTTTTCGAGTTCTTCTTCCAAGCTCACAAGGACTTGTTGAACTTTACCACTAAGCTCGCTGACAACTACCTAGCTACACCACTGAGCTCGGTACACAATTCTTCGAGGCAGAAGTAGGGGTGTAAACGAACCGAACACGAACGAACATAGCATGTGTTCGTATTCATTTGTTTGAAATTAATTGTGTTTGAAATAGACACATGTTCGAAATTGTTCGTTAAAGTTGTTGTTTGTGTTCGGTTCGAATTGTTCTAAATAAGTTCGAATTATTTGAAATGTTTGAATTGTTTGAATAATATCAATGGTTCAAATTGTTTGAATTGTTCAAATTATTCGAATTGTTTGATTTGTTCGAAATATTCGAATTGTTTGAAAATATTAAGATTTATTTGCATTATTTAAAATATGATAAATTTTTAGACTATATAATTATTTTAAAATATCATAATTTTTTATATATAACTATTTTAAATTATTTTATATTTGAACATTAACGAATAGAACACGAACGAACACATTACTGTTTGCGTTTGATTCGTTTAACAAACCGAACAAAAAAAATTGCTCCTGTTCGATTCGAACACGAACTCTTTAACGAACCAAACTCGAATTGTTTGCGAACAACGAGCTTTTTGACAGCCCTAGTAATAATGGAAGCGAAGAACATGAGTAGGTAGAATTACCTGAAGCAAGTTACAAGGTAGTGGAGGAAGACAGAGATTTCGACACGGCCGAGCTCGTAGCCGGGGCAGAGCCGCTGGCCACCCCCAAATGGAGTGAAGATGGGAGATCCACCAGCTTGCTGGCCTCCATCTTTGCTGACATTGTTGTTGTGGGTCTGTACAAAATTCATGGCAACATTTTTGTTAAGTTACTCTTCTCCTTGTCACCCATGATTCATTCATTAAGCTCACCAGCCATCTCCATGGGTTGAAGGTCCGGGCTTCTTCGTAGTAATCTCTGTCAAGGTGCACTGCTCTGAATGAAGCAAACACCTTGCATCCCTTCGGAATCGTGAATCCTGCCATCCCATGAGCAACAACATTAGCAACAGAGTTAAAGGGGCTGTCTGCCAACGGATTAAATCCGGATTCCACGTATTTCAGTTGTAAATCTCAGGAATCGGTGGATTTAATTTCATGGGATTTGAAATTTAGCTTCGCAGGCCTCCTAACGGCCATAACAACTTAAATCCTTGCAGAAATTGTCAAATAAATTTACTGTAAATCTATTGTCTGATAATTTTTCAAATTTAATCTATTCAAGATTTAGTAAAATCGGATTTATGAGACTTGCTAAATCCTACTGCCTTAAAATCTCGAATTTTTATTCGGTACGTGTACCGCATGAACTCCTACATGCGGTACCGAATAAAATTCGTCACGTGGAAGCTTTTCACCTTAAAAATGTTAATTTTTTACGCTACCCGGCCCGAATCCCGCCCCAAAAAAAAAGCGTCTTTTTGTCCTTTTCGATTCCCGCCAATTGAAAAAAAATGGCATTTTGTTTGCTTTAGGGTTTAGGGATTCGGTATATTCTCATTTTTTGTCTCGTGTTCGCTGGAGCTGGTTTGATGGAAATAATTTTTGACGAAGAAATGTTGGTGGAATCTCAAAATACTCCTGAGAAACATAACAATGAGATGAAATCTCAGAATATTTTCGAGAATAATGAGATTGAGCAGAGTTTAGATGCGGCAGAAGGATATCGGCAGGTACCTTAAGGACTTGTTTGAATGCAGTTCTAGGTTTTAAGGAATAATTTTATTGTTAATGAAGTTTGTTTTTTTTTTAGATGAGGTTTAACGCTAAGTTTCGGCTGGGTGGGAAGTAGTGTTATTTAGGTAATATCATGGTGATACACTGATTGTTTTTGCAGTTGCTCTCCATTTCTTATTGTTCATTAGAATATTAGTTGGGGTTTGATGTTATTTTGGTAATATCACAGTGTTATTTTGGTGGTATCATAATGTAAAGTGAATGTCTTGAGGATTTGGTGTTATTTTGGTAGTATCACAATGTAACGTTACTTTCATGTGAATTTAGTGTTATTTAGGTATTATTACGGTGATATAGATACACTGGTTGTTTTTGCAGTTGTTTTCCATTTCTGGTTGTTCGTTATAATATTAGTTGGGGTTTGATGTTATTTTGGTAGTATCACAGTGTTATTTTGATAGTATCATAATGTAATGTTACTATCGTGGGGATTTGATGTTATTTTGGTAGTATCACAGTGTTATTTTGGTAGTATCACAATGTAACGTTACTGACGTAGGGATTTGGTGTTATTTTGGTGGTATCACAGTGTTATTAAGATAATATTGGATCTGCTGACTTGATTTTCTTTTAGGAGACTGGTAACATTTCTTAATGGCATTTTATAGTATTATTATGGTATTATTATCTTGTTATTTATGTATTGTGACATTGTATTAATGATGTTTAAATCTACAGTCACCCGAGGCAGAGAAATTGCTTCATGCAGTGGTCCACAACGAGAATGAAGCATATGAACAGTATTATTTATATGCACACCATATTGGATTTACTGTGCGAAAGGAACACAGTGGTTTCTGGACGAATTCAAAGAAGCTGAAGACAAAGGACTTTGTTTGTGGTAAGACTGGTTTCAAGAAAGAGTTGAAGGACACTATCACTATGAGGTTCAAAAGAGCAGACACAAGGACTCGATGTCCAACAATGATCTGATATCAACTGGTCGGTAAAGAAATTCATAGAAAGTCACAACCATCCGTTGGCGGGGGACGATGACAAGCATCTACTACGTTCCAACAGAAAGATGTGTGATATCAGTGCTGATATCCTCAGATCAATGACAAAATCAAGGATTAGAACCAGTGATGCATTCAGATTCCTCGTAATTGTGGTTGGTGGAGTGGAGAATCTTGATTGCACAAAAAGGGATGCATATAATTTCATACAAAGAGAGAGAAGAGTTTAAATTGAATTAGGGGATGCTAATTCTCTCATATATTGTTCACTACTCGACAAGCGAAGGATCCAATGTTTGCGTGGGACTTCCAAATTGATGAGGCATGATGTTTGGTGAGTATTTTATGGTGCGACGGGATGTCCGGGATTGATTACGACTGTTTTTGGGATGTAATAATATTTGATACAAGTTATAGACTGAATAAATACAATTTATGTTGTGCTCCGATTGTCGGTGAGAATCACCACTGGCAGAATATTTTATTTGGTGTTGTTTTTTGTCAGATGAAACGATTGAATCATTCAAGTGGTTATTCAAAGCTTTTATCCGTATAATGGATAAGAAGAATCCGATAACAATATTCCCTGACTAGGACCAAGCAATGTCTAAAGTCATTGAAGAGTGTCTTCCGCAAACCAGACATAGATTATGTCAATGACACATCTACAAATAACAATATTCACTGACCAGGACCAAGCAATGTCTAAAGCCATTGAAGAGTGTCTTCTGCAAACCAGACATAGATTATGTAAATGGCACATCTACAAGAAGTTATCTTCAAAAGTCCATTGTGGCGTGGGTAGCAAGAGAGTCAATGATCTTTTTTATAAATGTTTGAGAAAATGTGAATCTGAAGAGGAGTTTGAAGAAACTTGGGGTGAAATGATCGAGAAAGGAAACCTACACGAGAATGTTTGGTTGGATGAATTGTATAATATCAGGCATAAATGGTCAACCGCCTTCAACAAAGAAATTTTTGGAATGGGGATCCTATCAACGCAAAGAAGTGAGTCCACGAATAAGATTTGTCATAATGTCTCCAAAGCAACAAGCACCCTGACCGAATGTTTTTTGGGTCTTGAAAATGTCATCAAGGATTGGAGAAGAAATGAAAAGGATGAAGAATTTAAACGCCAGCAGTCTGCAATTTCTCCCACCTTTAAAAGCAGTCCAGTGTTGAGACAGGTTTCTACACTTTACACTAGGAAGTTATACTTAATGTTTGAAGCACAGTTTCTACATGGTTTGTGTGGGCTTGCTGTGGAGTGCTCCAATACTATGGATTCAGAATTTCATATCCGAACTCTCGATAATAAGGACAGAGCCAGACCTGTATTGTTAAAGTGGACAGTGGTAATTCTGATATTACGTGTAGTTGTAAAAAATTTGAAATGATGGGTTTATTATGTGCTCACGCTCTAAGAATTCTTCAACACAAAAATATTACAAAAATGTCTGATAAATATATATTATTTCGGTGAACTATTAATGCGAAAATGGACATATATAACAGTTATGGTTATGCAAATCGCAAAGTTTCAGAAATGTTGCCAAATTCTGCAAGTGGACTCATCTATCTCAACCACATTCATAAATTTGCATACCAGATCGACACCATAACACGAGGCCATGAACTTGCAGAGAAGCTAATGTTGGAGGCATTTAATAAAATTAAAATCGATGTCGAAGCAGCTATGAGTGGACGAGCATCGCCTGAAAAGTCAAAATCAAAGAAGAAGAAGACACCCAGTAAAGAACGAAATGTGAATGATCCCACAAAGATGCGGCCAAAAGGAAAATCTAATGCAAGGCTAAAAGGTTACTGAGAAAAAAATAAGAGATGCAAAATTAAATGTTACCTATAATATTAAGTTATGTATTTTTTCTTATGAAAGATTACTCACTAACAGATAATATTGTATACAGGAAAGGAGAAAGATAATGTTTCAAGCCATGATAGCATTCCGGAATGCGATCCAAATTTATTTTCAATGACGGATCACTTTACTTAGGTTGCGGAATCGATCCTTCTGAAATTTTGTCTGCTCGATTTAGACTTCTTTCCTGATATTTACTCATTAATATTATCAATGTACAAAAATTTTCTCAAACACAACAAATGAGGACATATACGAGCTTACTGATGGGCATACATGATAATATATAGACTACTTATTATTAAAATTGTTGTATTATTATTGTTTAAGTTGAAACAAACATTTGTTTTACTGTGTTTTTATTTATGAGTTATTATGGTGGCATATTCCTATAAAATCATCGCTCGTTATACGATTTACATAAATAAAACCTGAACGCGACCGTATTAAAGAAATCAAAATACAACCAGCGCGGTTTCCTTAAGACAGATTTATTTCTGCCGAATCGTCTGGTTTCATTGGAATCTTTGGCGGCATATTCCAATAAAACCAGCGCTCGTGAGACACGGCAGAAGAATAAAACCATAACACGACCGTAAAGAAATCAAAATACAACCAGCGCGGTTTCCTTAAGACAGATTTATTTCTGCCGAATCGTCTGGTTTCATTGGAATCTTTGGCGGCATATTCCAATAAAACCAGCGCTGTTGAGACACGGCAGAAGAATGAAACCTGAACACGACCGTAAAGAAACCAAAATACAACAAGCGCAGTTCCTTAAGACAGGCTTATTTCTGCCGATCTGCCTGGCTTCATTGG